CATTCGAACGCGTTCTCTTGTTTCGAATAAAACAGAGATACATTGTGAAGCATATTGAGATGTTTGAAAGTAGAAATTAGAATAGTAGAAAAAAGTGTTGGACAGAATTTTACTCGGACAAGTAGGTAACAAGTAATAAAATTTTATTCCCATCGAATAAATATCAAGGCGAGTAAAAATTTATACGAATAAAATGGTATTCTTACAATAAAAATTTATCTGTATTACCTTATTCCCTTATTAACACTAAACGTACCGGCATTTTACATATACCTATCTTTATGCAAAGAATTTTTCTCGGTAAAAAATAAGCTAAGAGAAAAACAAAAAACAGAAAACAGAGAAATTGAATAATCAGATGATATAAGAATTTACAAAAAGTCTGATTAGCGAAAGAAATAACAACGAATGTACGATTTTAAAGTAAATTTTGGTACGTTTAGTGTTGATGTTTCATTTCGTTTTAAACTCTTTCACGTGTCCTCGCTTTGTTAAACAGAAAGAATTTTTAATCTTCCAAGGAATATATTTAACACGAAATGTGATGACATTTAGTGAATAAAATAAGCTATTTAGGCTCTGTTTCTTTAATTTAGGTATTCTAGAAATTTGCAGAAACATCCACAGTTATTTAGAAAATTTTTACATCTTTCATGTGAAAATTAGTATTTCGCCAAAAAATATATACATTGTTTCTCCCAGTGTGTTTACTATAACTCTTTGCTGCTTATCATGCGGCTGTACGACCATTTCTCAAGAAACTTCTCGTTTCTCTCAGCGACGGATTCTTTGAGGTCGATTTTGCAATCTTTTAGGGCATTCAGTTCCTTGTCATCAGGGAAAGTAAAGTAAAGAGCAGAATAAATGACAGTCGGACAATGAATAGGTGGAATGAGGTTGAAGATTCCGACCAAGGTCCAACACATATTTTGCTCGTTTTCTTCACAGTCATACATTGTTTTAGTAAAAAAAAAAAAAAAAAACCAATCACTTTTAATTTTTAAAGAACCCAGATTTTTCTCTTTGATCGCTGTGCTTAATATTCAACTAAATTTGATTGGAAGGGAATTTTTCAACCTTGTCTATCAAAAATATAATTGATTAAATCCTTTCGTCAGAAATATAAAACAATGTGCAAGATGTTCCAATTGCATATATTGTAAGAAATAAATTTTTAAAAGAACAAAGACGTTAATAAACATAAAGTCGCGGATGGAAAACGTGATGCGTTGTTTATTACCTTGCTTCCTTCTTATGGAGGAGCAATTTTAAAATTCAATATGCTAGCCAATTGCATACTTCCACTGACATAAAAAGTCAGCAAATAAGATCTTCCCGCGTGATCTTTATATATTGTCATATTTTATTTCATAACGCAGAAAATCAGAACAAGAAAAAACTCTTTTGCCAGAAAGAAAAAAAAAAATAATCACGCGAAACACTCTACCGTAAAAGATCGGCCACGAATTTTATTCCCTCGACGCGAATATTTCAATGGGAAAATCGCTTTTCGACGAGCATAGAATTTCGTTGAAAATGAAAAAAAAAAAAAAAAA